AACAACAACAACAACAACAACAACAACAACAACAACAACAACAACAACAACAATAATAATAATAATAATAATAATAATAATAATAATAATAATAACAATGACCACCACCACTACTACGACAAAAGTTAGGTTTTCATTTTTGTCCCATACGCTACTAACTGTCATTTTCTAAAACATCATGTATATGTTCGCATTTTACTACCCTGGCTGTATGCCTCCACACCGACTATTCCCCATTTATTAGGACGGATACATGCATGATACCCAGATCATTCAGATATTTATGCGTTTGTTGTAGTTTAACCAAAACTTATATAATTCATCCGACTTTCTCCAAACACACGAAAGTGTGAGAAAATCAGGATTATAAAGTACAGTCTGGTTTTCGTCATCTTTAAAAAGCCCACATTATCCAAATGTGTTTCAATCTCATGTACTCGCTTCAGGTGCAAACACCTTTAAGAACACACACCTTTAAGCAAACAAATCCTCCTCAGTTCCTTATTTCGCCCATATTTTATGTCATCCGGAACGTGCTTACCATAAGTTTCCGCAGTTTGAGTTAAATCAATAAACCTGGCGTATTTATACGCACCTCCAAATTTTTCCTTAGGGTTATGTGACAGTTTAATGTTCCCGAAATGATATAATACAGCGGTTTCTTGAATACTGGACGATGAAGGATTATCTAAATACTGTATCAAGCACCTAAGTTGAAAGGATCAGCGCTTACTTTTGCTGAATATAATTCGTAATCAGCATTGCTTCGCCTTCTTATTCTTCAGGACCCAAACATGATATATATGACACAAACGGACTATCAAAGCCGGGCCTCTATGGCTATCATTTGAACGGGTTGCCCCAACCGTTATCAGATTCGTTTGGTATGTGCATCGCTGAAGATCGCTCAGCCCGTTACTTGTCTGAACCTGCACCGACCCATACACACTCACCATTCACCAATCACAATAGCGGTTTCTTGAGTGAGTTGGGTTCACATCCATACGGCTTGCCTTCGTTCCCGCTGACGGGAACACATCCGCTCGGTACGGGTGGTGCAGGAGGCGGTGGCGGTGGAAGTAGCGGTGATCACTGCTCTCCCTGTATGGCCTCGATGAACAGTGGAGGTGGGAATAGTGGTATCGCCGGCTGTCCCAGTAGTCTTCCTTCTGGTGGTGGTAATATTTCGGGAACCGGTGGTACTGGTTTGCATGAGAAGCGAAAGCAACGTCGCATTCGGACCACATTCACAAGTGCACAACTTTCCGAACTGGAACGGGCCTTCCAAGAGACACACTATCCGGATATCTACACGCGAGAAGACATTGCCATGCGTATCGATTTGACTGAGGCTCGAGTTCAGGTAAGTATTGATGTCATTTAACCATAGAAGCTCTTTCTTCTATCTGTTTTGTGATCCTCTAACCTTCGCTAATGGTCGATGGGCTTCGTTCAACGTTTGACCCTTCCATTTATGATTCGTTGTTTTCACTGATGGTTATCTTGCCTTCACATATTGTTCTTAGGCTTTTTCATTAAGGAGTCGTGAAACAAGATAAAACTGTCATCCGGTTATACTATAATCTTCCCAGGGAAATGGTCATCTAGTGAAACACAATGTCCAATCTAACATTTTGGTCTAATCACGATATGACTTTATGAACGGCAAGAAACGCTCCAATCCGAATGTGATTGAAGTTGCCACCTGGTTAGGTGGAGTGCATAGCAAAGATATATATAGCACTGCTCAACGACCTTGGACGAAATTTGAATAACTTTGCATAAAGATTAAATAAACATGGGAGGTACCCACAGTGGTTCCGATGCTTCTGAATTAATTGAAGTCGGACTAGCTTTAGACGCAATGTTTCAGGCTGAACATATAAATGAATCTACAGTTCTTCGTACATAGCTCCTTGGATCAATTAAACGCCCTTGTGGAGATGATGCCCCTTAAATCATACGCGTAATTCACTGATATCCGAAGTCATTTTGGATAGTGATTCACAGACTACTAAAAATACAGTTGGAAGGATTAAAATGTAATTCAGTATGCAATACCAGCGTGACTCACCAAACTGGGAAAGAATTGGAACCACTGCTAGGAGTGACTATCAGTACATGCCCAAGGAGACTTTTATTGATCAAAATCTGGGGTAAAAGGTTGTGTGATAATTTTAAGGTGTTTCATCTGGTTTGTTAAACGTTACTAACCGTAAACCCAGCATCTACAGCCATGGATTTGGCTTGCCCAGAGATCCCTAAACAGAAAGTCTAAAGCAACCAAGTTAAGCAGTTTGAGGCCGTATGCTAGATTATAATTTGATCATCAGTGACTTTTGTTCAACCACCAAATACCTCAGTTCGCCAAGGGAGGTTTGCCGAGGGAGGTCCAGTCACGGGAATCTATAGAGGTAAGAAAATTGTGCTAGTCTGTAAACGCAATCACTTTCCGTTGGTTGCCATATTCCTTCTGAACACAAATTCGTGCTATGCGATTAGTCATCACCTGACTTCACCTTTCAGTCTGGTCTGGTACAAGTTATATGGATCTATTTCCGGTCAAATAACCGAAAAATGTTCATGTCTTGCTTCCAACGATTGTGTTATCCGTCTCGAGTGATACACGAGCTGTTTCGATGAGAACGATGCAATTTTTCAATTAAATTTTCTCATACTTTATAATTCATCGCAACGGTTTTGGTCACCGACAATGTATATCTAACGTTTTATCGAAATTCGGATCGAGTTATTTTTCTTTATAAATTTCCTACGCAGGAGTGAATACAATTTCCGGGGCAGCAAATGAGACTGGTGGCGATAGAGTTTTGAGATCACGTGACCCGACTGTTTGAGGTTTGCGTATTGTTACTTTTTGTTTGAGGAAAGGTACCAAGTAATCTGGATCTGACAATAAAAAATACCGGTCGCTCATTGTTCATTATGCCCCTCGGGTCATCAGCGCAGGTGTAAAAGCCCCCATGTTTTGGCGGAGTAATAGCAACTGAACCATCTGTTACCGGTTCACACCAGATGCAACCGAATCTTCGTACGGAATATATTTTTGGTATCACTAGCTGTATTCTTTTTCAAGTTGAACAGGTTGGATACGTAAGTGGGTTGTGTTTCCTTGTGGAATTGAAGATTTTCAGTTTGATATACCTAAATTTCTTCTCTCCAGTTATCTCTCCAGAATAGGAGATGTAAGTGAACAGGATGCTTGCAAATTAGGGAATAATTTGAATTTTTATAACCAATTTGGCCTATTGGTATAATCGAAGCTGTGCAGACTAATGGATGAACTTCAGATTAGTTTTGTTGAAAATGTGAATCACTAAATGTTTCTGGCTATCCATCTGCGTCTGGAGGCTGAATCATGCACTACTGCACGTTTTTTACAAACTGAGTGAAGGTCACTTGCTATTCAAGACATGCTCGAATCGATCAAGTGGAGATGATCGATAATACTCGAACTCAGTCATGGTAACCCTCACTCCCCAATTTCATCTTTACACGTCAAACAATAATGGTTTACTGGCCGAGGATTGTGAAACGCCGAATTTCTTGTGGCATAAATGGACTGTAAACGAAGCATACAAATTCACACACACAAAGAAACAAAGAGATGAAACTTTCACGAAAAAGAGGTTTACAGGAGGATTCGGGGTCACACTCTCCATTTTTATTAGTGGAAAGAAAGAGGGCCGAGTGAGATGGTGGCATATAAGCAATTTTCATACATTCGGCTACCGCAACCCAGGCTATTGAGTTCTATGTATTCCTTAGCGATCATTATCTAACGGGAACCTATATCATAAAATGATAATTGTATAGTGGTCTGCCCTGAAAAATTAGAAAGTTGAGTGTGGTTATTTTGATCTAACGATCGACAAACATCCGTATCACCGGCTTTGATGCAATTCTTTGTTTTTCATCATCTTGAAAAAGAGGTGAATTGTCCTTGAAAATATCTACTGCAATGGATATACGTTTTTTAATCAAAGTGACTCAGTTTATTCAAATCTCGTTTGATCTGACAGGTTTGGTTTCAAAATCGACGGGCCAAATTTCGTAAACTCGAACGTTCCGGGCAACCAGGTACACGATCCCAAACCACCAATTCTCCACCGCCGGATTTCGACGATCAAAAGCCGTGCGATTCCGGCATGGAATGTAAACGTGTCCAGTCGAGTCCGAGCTCTGGAGATTTGTACGGACTTAAAGACCCCGTAATGACCATGATGATCAATGGACCACCGGACTCATTGTCGCGAAGCACTACAAACTTGGATACAATGACCGGACACAGTGTGAATGCTGCATATCAGACTTTACTGATATCCGGCTCATCCATGTGTCCTAGTACAATGGGAGACGGCAAACAGTTTGTACACACCGCTATGCTTCCACATCGTGATCCGACGTTATCACATCACCAAATATTCCCCAATTTACACACACCAGATCATTCCATGTTTGGGTCACATCACCCTGTCTGTTTGGATCCGTTCGTTCCGGCATCGATTGGTGGACTCGATGACCTAGGTCCGGATCCCATACCGAATGACCAGATGCGTTCTAGAGAGCACGGCACAATCGGTGTGCATCCACTGCATAAACTTTCTCAGACGTGCATGCAGGTGGATCGATTACTGGCTAAAACGTCCGGTCTGAATTCGATCAGGTTGGGTAAACGGAGTGTATGCGGTACGGGTGGGGGTGGTGGCGGCGGTGGCGGTATCAGCTCACACATGAAAAAAGACCGAATGGTGGAATGAGAACATTATCTGAAGAGTCTCAGCAGGTGGCGACACGAGAATATGATAATATATACATATACGGACTTCTTGGTTTGTACCATCAGTGAACAGTATTTTTAATTATAAAATGAATTTGTTAATACCTTTTAATGAAACTATTTTGTTCAGAATGCTGAAAGGATCCTTAATGACGCAGAAGTGATGTTTTTGGAATTTCCGCAACTTTTGAGCATTGCGAGTACGGCATTCACTAGCAGTAATAGGTGAACAGAATTGTTCATTTGGTTGAACAAAACTCCATAATATAAATAAATTTGTGCAAAATGATCCTGCGCTACATTCCAGTATGGAAAGGAGGACACAGTTCTCATGTAGAGCACGTTTAGACCCAACCAATAGAACTTATTATGATACCGATTCACCCTAGAAAACGGTAAAACTGGTATGCTGAGTTGTTCAGAACTTTGAAAAAGTCACTTTCTTCTTTATTAGAAAAGACAATTAGGATCAGCTAAAGCCCGTCAGGCAACTTCATGATATTGTAAAGTTGTGCGTGGTTTTTGATTGCTTGATCCGATCGTTTTCTTATTGTATAGCATCGCTCGACAAAAGAATGGTATATAAAATTCAAAATCACGAATACGCGGTTCGCCGTTAAGCAACCGGGAAGTCCTGAGACTTGGTATGGATTTTAAAGTAAGAACTCGATGGATAAAGTGTGGTATCCAGCTGAATGATAGCTCAGCTGCAGGTCATCAGTTTTGCTGCAGCAGAGGAGTTTGAACCCCGAACCTTCGGACCGGAAGAACGCCGGCGACAGCAAACTAATAGCGTGACCACCAGCAGGTTAACTGCCTCTTCCGCAACAAAGCTGCGTCGTTCATGTTTGTTTAAAATAAAATCTTATGATGATGCTAACTATTCCAAGGAGATCCAATTACTTTTATAGCAGTTCTACATCAACCGGTAGGTGTGTTTTCGGATGCATTTAAATGATCACCGTCGCAAACAAGATACCAGTGGGGAAATTAAAGCAACTTCTTTTTCTATTGAATGGTTACAATGAAGATGATCTGCATAGATAATTTGAATATGACTAAGATCCTCTAGGGTCACTAGACAGAAGACATTCTGAAAGGCCGGGGAAAGTCGATCAGAACGGTAGTCGTTTGGGACCAGGATGAGTGGAGGTCTTCGACCGGTCGCGTTAGTG